GGAAATTCTGAAAGCCACTTTAAAAAAATGACACTACCTCACTCAACCCCAAACAGGGAGTGGCACTGAAGTCTGTACCCTGGGGTGGAGGGGAAGGAGTGAGGGGTGGGGTGGAGGGGGGGGCGGCAGGGTGAGGGTGGGACTGCTTAGCTTCTCCTGGATTTGGGGTCTAGTTGGTACTACCTCCCTGCCCTCTCCTATCCCATCCTAATATATGCCTCAAGCCCACCACCCAGCCTCCTGTTTTCTTCATTTCTTATAGCCCCTCCCACTGCCTTTCTGTCCAAGTTTTTCTCCCACAACTCAGCTCTACCGCTCCCTTCTATCAGCTACTGCTGTCTGCCTCTCTGCTGACTCCATTCTTTTGGGAACAAATCTCTTTTGTCATTAACCTTTTCTTTAGAAGCTCATTCCACTTTTTTGCCATAATAAAACCCTGACTTTTTCTAGCAGTTAGCTAAGTGTCTGGCACAAATTCACAGCCTTACTCATTTGATAATTATTTATTCAAAGTCCACCTTCCTTGAGCCTACTGTCCTTTAAGGCTATTTTCCTCTCTTTGCTTTTCTACCCTTCACTGTCCAACTATACACTCATTCCTTAACCTCTTATAATCTGGCTTCCGTCTTCACTATTGCCCTGAAACTATTTTGTCCAGATTATTCTACCACCTCCTAATTGTCAAATCCTAGGCCTCATCTTCAATCTCTTAAACTCTTAATCTCTGTGGCACAGAGCACTCCTGACCACTTGCTTCTTTTTGAAATTTTTTCTCTTTTGGCTTTCGAAATATGTTCTTTTCCTCTTCATCTTTCTTCTTTATCTTTTCCTACAGTTAAAAATGATTAAAGAGATTTAGGAAAAGGCCTTGGATTTGAACACTTCATGGAAGGCAGAACGCTTTTATAGGATAAAGAATAAAGAACAAGAAAGGGAAAAATGAAAATATCTGATTGGCTGGCTGATAGTCAACCTTGTTTGGAGTGAGAAGGCCCAGAATTGGCTTGGCATTTGGGGATTGGCTAAGGAATATGCTGCATTTCTGGTCAAACAGAACAATCAAGTTTCCATTTGCTGACGTGGCACCTGGGGCAGGAATAGCTCCACCGTGGGTCTAGAAATCTATTTCAACACTACCTCTTGGACCATTCCTTCTTTTCTGTTTCGTGAGGTACCATTTCTAAGGATCTCCCCTTTGCCCCCCTTCTCTCTTGCCTTTATTGCTGAGCAGTCTTTAAACTCTCACCTTTGTGTTGATGTCTCCCACACCATTTTCTTTGGTCCCAATTTCTCTGTGGTTTTTCGGCCCTGCGTGTCATTCTGCCTATAGGACATCTCTAGACGCTTAGACTGAGCTCATTTTCTCCCCCCACCCCAATAGATTTCCCATTTTACTTTCCAATTTATATTAATAACGTTCCATCCATCTGGATGTAAACCTCTCTCTCCGTAGCTATCAGATTCATTCAGACACAAAGTCCTGTAAATTCTACCTCCTAAATTCCTTCTTTTTAATTCAGGTTCTAATCATCTCTCATCCTAGGTCTCCCTGCTCAAGTGATCTTTTTTTTTTTTTTAAAGATAGGGTCGTGTGTCTCTTCTGCTTAAAGACCTCCCAGGAACTCTGCACTGTGAAGTTCAGTCTCTGAAGAGAACATTCCAGGCCTTTCACACTCTAACTCCAGCTTCATTCCAGCCTCATTTCCCGCATCCCCACCTAACAAACTGGGCTCTGGTAATCCACCTGAAACATTTCCTAAAAGCACACAATGACTTTTCACTCTCTCTGCTTTATTTCTGCTCTGCTCATAACTGCATTTTTTTTAACCTTTTATATTTTGAATCTCAGGTTCAGAAGGTTAAATTATTGACACTCTGCAGTTCATGACATACTATTGTAATTGGCCCTTCCAAAGTCCTTCACCTGTTATTTATCCGTGCATTGCCCCACAACCTTTCAATGTATTTAATGTATATATTTTTTAATGTATATGTTTTCTTATTTGTTCCTGTAAAATATCTACTTTTTGTGTGTCTCTATATTTAATTTACATTATAGATCTCATTGTGTTTCTTTGTAAATTTAGCACTATGTTTCTAAGCTCTGTCCATGTGGTTAGTCTATTACTTCTGATTGCTTCATAGTACTTCTTGGTACAGCACATTTTATCTATCCTTTGATAATGGACACTGTGAATGTTTTATACCTGAACCCCTGGACAAGGCCAGAGTTTTATCACTACCTAACACAGCGATTCTCAACCCTATCAGACTCAACAATCTTCCTTAAATAACAAAAGTATTATAATGTCTCCTTTATTATTCTGAAATGACATTCACAGATCATATAACATACTTTGGTAGGGAGCCTCTCAGAGAACCCCCAATGATGTCTGCCTCCTGTTATACTCATCCTTGTGTAATCCCCTCTCCTTGAGAATAGGCTGCACTTAGTTGAATTCTCTTAAATAGAATAGGACAGAAGTGATGGGATGCGACTTACAAGGTTAGGTTACAAAAAAAACACTGTGGTTTCTGTCTTGGGTGTTCCTGATTCTCTCCCTCATCTGTGCTGAGAGAAGCCAGCTGCCATGTTGTAAGCTGCCATATGGAAAGGACCATATGGCAAAAAACTGAGGGAGGCCTCTGGCAATAGCCAGTGATGAACTGAGGCCTTTAGTCTAACAACCTGAAGGAACTGAATCCTGTGGACAACCATGTAAGTGATTTTGGAAGTGGATCTTTCCCCATCAATACCTCAGATGAGACTGTAGTCCCAGGCAAACACCCTACCAGCACCATAAGGGACCTTGAGCCAGCTAAACTGCACTCAGCTAACCTGCACCCAAATTCCTGACCCACAGAAACTGTGTGATAAATGTTTGTTTTAAGCCACTAAGTTTGGGGATAATTTGTTACAGACAACAAATAACAAATATACCTAACTATCCAATGATTTAAAAATAATATATAATGCCCTATTGTAATAGAAAGATAAAATACAGACAGTGAATTATAATATGTTTCAAGATATAAATGCTCAGGCATGACTACACTAGAGGGTATAATGATTTTAGATGCTTGCCCCTACATGTAGAATCACCATGAATGCAAGAGCTACAAATGCAGAATGACTCCAGTGAGTATGGGCTACTCAAATTATTACAAGTGATGTGGCTTTTGGTGACATTATTTCCTGAAATGGTTCACAGCTCTTGGTAAGTTCCAAACAAAACAAAATACAATATCCCTCCAATTTTAGGGTACTTACTATTTTGGGAAAAGCTCGGTTCATTCCTCCCTGTGTCTTTCTTCTTTACTTGCACACAGAACATTTAACTTCTGACACTTCTGGTCACCAAATGTGGGCTTCTTTTCCCACACCAAACTGTCTGTAACACCAGCTGGGTGTCCTACAATCTAACTCAATTCTTCACACTATCTACCTGGAGATAGTGTTAAATCCCATGGGCTAAGGAAGGGCTCAATCCCACAAGACTGCCTCCCACTTTAGATGCCAATCACAAGTAGTAGGTCCCAGGTTGCCCACATGTCTGTCCACCTTGGCTACAAATCAGAGGTTCCCATGACTTTGCTCCCCCTTGGATTTATTTGCTAGAACAGCTCACAGAACTCAGGGAAATATTTACTTAGATGAACAGCCAGATGATTAGAGTGAGGTCTGGGAGGGTCCTAAGTGAAGAGCTTCTGTCCCTGTGGAGTTGGGGGTGTGTCATTCTCTCCAAAGGTGGATGTGTTCCCCAACCTGGAAGCTCTCCAAACCCCCTACTATTGGGATTTTTATGCCTCATGTAGAAATGATCAATTATTAGCTACATTTCCAGCCTCCCTCCCATCTCTGGAGAATGGGAGCTGGGGCTGAAAACTCCAATCTTCTGATCGTGGCTTGGCCTTTCTGGTGACAGCCCCCAGCCAGGAGCCCACCCTAAATTGCCTCATGAGAACAAACGATGCTCCTATCCGCTTACCACTTAGGAAGTTGCAAGGGTTTTAGGAGCTCTGTGCCAGGAACTGGCAGCAGAGACCACTATATATATTTTATATTATCTCACAGTTGCATTCCTAGAAAATCAGATGTTAAGAGCATAGGACATGCTTTGTGTCTATACGTTAACAATGTCAGGTTGTAAGCTCAGATAATTAAAGATTTTTCGTTCGCATGAATCTTTAGCAGGACATTCAGAAATATTGTGGGACCCTTCCTTGTGTGGCATCATGTCTTGCACTGCAGAACATTTGCTATCCCTAGCTTTAGCCTTCTAATGCCAGTGGTTTTCCTCATTGTTCTGAACACAAAACTCCCCACAAATACTTAATCCTCAGTCTAAGGGGTGGTGTTTTCCTCTTAAAAACTAATAGCGGGGGCGCCTGGGTGGCTCAGTTGGTTAAGCGACTGCCTTCGGCTCAGGTCATGATCCTGGAGTCCCTGGATCGAGTCCCGATCGGGCTCCCTGCTCGGCAGGGAGTCTGCTTCTCCCTCTGACCCTCCCCCCTCTCATGTGCTTGCTCTCTCTCATTCTCTCTCTCTCAAATAAATAAATAAAATCTTAAAAAAAAAAAAACCTAATAGCGAAGAAAAACATACCCAATAACCCGTACAGTGCTTGGCATTTAATAATAGTGTAACTATCAGTTGTTAAATTTGTTTAAATACACTCTTCGGGCAGCCCAAGAACGCATAGCTTCACAACCCCGAACCAGGAAGTGGTGATTCGATATGTAGAAGGCAATTCAGAGCCACAACAAGCTATACACCGCTCAGCCCACGATTTCCTTTATTTATTTTTTTTTTTTTGGCTAATGTTTAATTAATCCGTGACCCCGATCACAGAGCGCAGAGCTCATCCGCCTCCGTGAACTCCGTGGCCTCTGCTGTTAGTTTCTGCGCATCTTCCCCCGCGTCCCCCCCCCAGCTGGCCGAGCAGGCCCCGCCCCGCCCGGCGCGTCACCGGAAGTGAGGCAGAGGAAATAGTAAAACCCGCTGGGCGGAGGTGGCGGAGCCGTGTAAGCTGGCTGGTGGCATGGCCGACGAGGAGGAAGACCCTACTGTGAGTGACCACCACTGTTCCACCCCACTCTTTTCTTCACTCCCTGGGGTACAGAAGCGGATCCTGAGTTCAGAGTCACTCGAGATTTTCCTTAGCGAATTCCCTCGAGAGAGTTCGGGGACTTCACGCCGTGCTAGCCTTTCCCTTCGGATTCATCTCTTAGTACGTGGGGCAGGACGTGACGGAAGAGTAGGAAGGTGGCTCCTTGTTCTTTGCTTTTGGTTTGTATTTGCCAGACACTCTTTGAATCGCCTGGACGGTCATCAGAGGACAAAGCTAATATTTGTTAGCTCTCATGAAAGAACACTGCAGCTGGTAACAAAACTGTATACTTACTGTAAAGTTGTGGGAAAATAATGGACCGAAAGTCAGGCAACCTGGATTTCAAAATCTGTTATCTGTGATCAAGTTACTTAACTTTGAGCCTCGGTTTTCCTGGCATAAAATGGGGTTAAGGCTTATTTGAGGAAAGTTCCTAGCCCTGTATGAGCAGTGCTTAGAAAATACTAGTTTTGCTTACTTTGATTAAATACCAACTCTCTCTCTCCCTTTTTTAAAAATACCAACTCTTAATAGTAAAACTGTGTAGTACTAGGCCAACTAGTTGGTTTAAAAAAAAGAAAGTATGGTTATTGGAACTCTTCCAGGAGAGGCAGTAGGACTATTTGTTAGGGACACTGTAGAAGCCATTCCTGCATGAGTGGGAAGTTGGATTGGATAGTCTTTAAGGCTCCTAAAATGCTAAGATTTCATAATTTGCTGCTTGTTTTAGGCTCTCTGGCATGACACAGTGTTGAAAATGGAAAAAAAAATCAAATGCAGTACTTGACATTTCTATATATACATTTTAATTTATAGTTTGAGGAAGAAAATGAAGAAATTGGAGGAGGTGCAGAAGGCGGACAGGGTAAAAGGAAGAGACTTTTTTCTAAAGAATGTAAGTAATATTTGACAATGATTTAATTACAGATGATAAAAACTTTTGGACATGTCTGTTCAAAGTAGATTAATGTTCTGAATGTGTTTCTCTGTGGGGACAATATTCTCAGATTTCCCTATAAAATTCTCTAGTTTCTGAATCATAGATACGAGTGATCCTAACCCCAAATTATATGTGTATAGGTGGGTGGGTGTGTGTATACACTTTTTTTTTTTTTTAAAGTGAGGAAATGTGATCAGTGTTTCAGTTCAGGGCCTTAGAACATACCTCCATTACTTTTTGTGTCCCTTGCTATTGCAGCAGAACTCCTTTGTCTGCAAGTCAGAGGTTTTGATGGATCCTGGGACAGGTGCTGAGGGTATGGAATTAAGTTGGGGCTTTGGACTAAGGCATTGGACAAGACAGAAAGGTGGTGAACAGTGTAAGACATTACAGTGGCAGAGATTATAATGTATTGGTTCTCTAGTATATTCCCTCAGTAGGCTGGTTTGACTCTTTTTGGCAGTAGCAAGAGGGAGAGCTGCTGTTTCTAGTGATAGTCAAAGCCAGCCCCTGAAAGGCACTGTGACAACGTGCTCTCCATCCTGTGTCCTTTACACAGTTATGGCTGAGTATTGACAGATGAGACAACACATGAAGATATGGTTTATTGGGTGCCTGGGTGGCTCAGTTGGTTAAGCGACTGCCTTCAGCTCAGGTCATGATCCTGGAGTCCCTGGATCGAGTCCCGCATCGGGCTCACTGCTCGGCGGGGAGTCTGCTTCTCCCTCTGACCCTCCCCCCTCTCATGCTATCTCTATGTCATTCTCTCTCTCAAATAAATAAATAAAATCTTTAAAAAAAAAAAAAGATATGGTTTATTTATGCTGGGTCAAACAAGTGGTTCCCAAATGCTCTTGAAACTGCAGTCAGTAGGGCTTTATATATATATTTTTTAACGACTCAAATCCTCCATATCTCAGTTTCTCACCTAAAGCTGACCACTCCTTAATCCATCTTTGATACTGTTTACTCCATTTGTGTTTTTACTTCTTATATCAGCCTAAGAAGGGGATTTCCACACCAGAGCATCCCAGAGTGATGTTTGCATTGTCAGTTCTAAGCAGAAACCTTTGTCCTACTTGGATTGCTTTATTTTTGTGATAATAAGAATTTGGAATCTTCAGAGCCTTCTCCTTGTCTTACCTGAATCTTGATATACCTTAATGGCCAAGCTCTGTTCTCCTAAACCTTCTTTTTAAAAAAATTTTTGCTACTCTAACACAGTGTTTCAAAGCATTCATTGGCATTTGTGTCTTTACAAACCAAATGCAGTTTACATACATACTAGTGAATTATGCCCATCACAATGTTAATGACAAAGTATCTTACTCAAATTTTTAAGGAAGAATAGTAAGCTTACAATGGAGAATCCTGGCAGACAAATAATGTCTAAAGTGTTAGCCAGGGGCGCCTGGGTGGCTCAGTCGTTAAGCGTCTGCCTTCGGCTCAGGTCATGATCCCAGGGTCCTGGGATTGGGCCCCGCATCGGGCTCCCTGCTCAGCGGGAAGCCTGCTTCTCCCTCTCCCACTCCCCCTGCTTGTGTTCCCTCTCTCACTGTGTCTCTCTCTGTCAAATAAATAAATAAAAAATCTTAAAAAAAAAATTAAAGTGTGAGCCAAATGATCAAAGTCAGTTCACCAGTAATACATATTAACATCACGTACCTCTGATATGATGCATTAAGAGGGCACATCACCTCTATGGTACCCTTTCTAGTAATGTGTAACCACAGTCTAATCATGAGAAAACACCAGACAAACCCAAATTGGAGAACATTCTACAAGATCACTAACCAGTGTCCTTCCAAAGTGTCATAGTCATGAAAGATGAGAAAAGTCTGAGGAACTGTCACTGCTCCGTGGAAAGTAAGGAGGCATGATAACTAAATAGTGTGGGATCCTGAAATAGAAAAAGGACATTAGTTGAAAAACTGGTACAATCTGAGTAAGTTCTGAATTGTATCAGTGTTAATTTCTTCTTTTTGATAAATGTCTGTGGCTCTATAAGATGTTAACATCAGGGGATGGTGGATATAGGGTATTTGGGAGCTCTGTACTATTTTTGCAACTCTTTTGTAAGTCTGAAATTATCTCAAAAAAGAAAAGGCAAAAAAGTTGTCAGAATCCAAAAGGGAGAAAAAATATTGGCTCTTGTGTTTGTTTTGTACCCCCTGTATCTGGACCTAAAGGCTCTTGCCAGTTTAAACCCTAGGGATACCTCTATCCCAGCCTGACTTCCAGATCACCCCTTTCTTTTCCTCCCTAGGCCTGGTGTACCTAATTCTTTCAGTTCGACCAACTTTTGCTTCTCCTAAATAGGAATTATTCTTAATGTACTCATTTCTTCCTTTAAAAGTGTTCTAGGGTTTTTTGTTTTGTTTTGTTTTTACTGTACTTAAATTGTACTAGTCTTAAATGAACAGCTTGATGAATTTTATGTATTTACATATACTTACAACCACCACTCAGATACAAAATATTTCCAACCTATGATAGGTTTTTTTTTTTTTAACATTTATATACCGCTTTCAGAGTTGATTATTCTTTGCAGAACAGTGCACACACACAAATAATATATAAAATTTTTACATATAATTTCAGAAGGGTTCAAGGGTTTCTCAAAGCCTGTCCATAGACTAACTGGGGGTTTATAGCCTATAGGATGATAATCCATATGGATCCCATCTGCCTTAAACTACCAAGAAGTGTAATACTGTTGAGGATAGGAATATAGACTCTGGAGCCAGATCACCTGCGTTCAAACATGGACTTCATCTCTTACTATTTGTGTGACCTTGGGTAAGTCACTTAGCTCAGTGCCTCAGTTTTCTTACCTAAGTGGAATAGGGATAATAATAGTATCTACTTCAAAGGATTGTTGTGAGGATTAAATGAGTTTTATTTTTATTACTCTGTATTAGAGTTTTTTTTCTCTTCTGCATTTTCTGTGGTTCTTTCAGATGAAGCCTGAAAGGACTTTGTTAGCAGTGCATTCATTGATCTAGGAAATGAAATACCAAGATTCTACATAGTTTACTTTCTCCATTTGATTACCCTGTTCTTCATATAAGAAGTAATTGGAGCAATTTCTCTCATGTCCTTTTCCCTCTGTTAGTATCAGAAAGGATTTTGCCTTCTCTTTTCCAATGCACCACTGCCCTCCCCTAACCCCAGACCATATACGCACAGAACACTCTCAGTAAGGGCTGAGCCATTGCTACTCATCCTGTCACTGCCATGGCATTTCCTACTTAAGGTTATTCCAGGGTTGTGGGTAAATAGGTAATAGAGGTTAGGGAAAGAATATTGATGTCAGGGTTCAGTAGCTGGGAGGAGTTCCTACTAGGGAAGGACAGTTAGGAACAGTTGGTTATGAGATTGTGGTTAAAATCTTTTACACTTAAGTCCGTGCTTGTAGACACAATGTAAATACGTTTATACAAGTATCTTCTCTATCTTAGTCCATTTCTAATTTGAAAAAAGTATTGGTAAAATTGTTAAATTTGTTCAGGTAAACAAAAACGATTGTTCTTTTACAGTGCGATGTATGATGTATGGGTTTGGGGATGACCAGAATCCTTATACTGAGTCAGTGGATATTCTTGAAGACCTTGTCATAGAGTTCATCACTGAAATGGTAAGATTTTTTTGTAATTGGTCTTAGTTAATTGAGTAATAGATTTGAAATTCTAACTTTTAGTTAAGACTAGAACTATGCCATCCTTTTGAAATAAGATTATCCATTTGAGTGCCTTTTTGTGGAAGTTACTGATTACTATTTATCATTAAAGATACATAGATATGTAAACATACACATATGTACATGTGTACACATACAATAGTCTACCCTTTCCTGAGTTTTATTTATAAGGACATAATTATAAGATCCTTGAGTAAAATTTAAAAATGGTAACCATAATCCCAACATCTAATGTAAGTTTCCCCCTTTCAGTATTTATTTAAATGTATACAATGCTGGGGCGCTTGGGTGGCTCAGTCACTTAAGCCTTTCCCTTCAACTCAGGTGATGATCTCGGGGTCCTGGGATCGAGCCCCACATTGGGCTCCCTGCTTTGCTTCTCCCTCTCTCCTCTCATGCTCTTTCTCAAATAAGTAAATAAAATCTTTTTTTTTTTTTAAGATTTTATTTATTTATTTGACAGAGACACAGCGAGAGAGGGAACACAAGCAGGGGGAGTGGGAGAGGGAGAAGCAGGCTTCCCGCTGAGCAGGGAGCCCGATGTGGGGCTCGATCCCAGGACTCTTGGGATCATGACCTGAGCTAAAGGCAGACGCTTAACAGTTGAGCCACCCAGGCGCCCCAAGTAAATAAAATCTTAAAAAAAAATGTATACAATGCTTACATAGTGGTAATCATGGTACGCATTTTTTACTCAAAATTTTACAGTACATACTTCCTATATTCTAATCACAATTATTTTAAAGGATTTTTTTTTTTTTCATTCGAGACAGAGAGAGAGAGAATACGGGGAGGGGGAGAAGCAGGCCCCCCGCTGAGCAGGGAGCCGGATGTGGGGCTCTATCCCAGGATCCTGGGATCATGACCTGAGCCAAAGGCAGACACTTAACCATCTGAGCCACCCAGGCGCCCCAATAATCACAATTATTTTAGTAGTTAAGTAAAATTAATTTAAATTGTTTTCTAATATATTTAACCATTTCTTTCTTGTATAAGTTATTTACAGATTATTAAGTGAATAGATAATTTTGAATGACCATATTCATGAAATTTCCTCCCATCTCCTTGGATAAATTCACAGGGTTGGGAATACTGAGTTCGGTTGTGTTCCTATGAATTTCTACCCTGTGTTATGGATTATTTCCTTAGTACGGAATAATAGAAGTAAAATTCCTGCATCAGACAGTATACATTTTTAAAAATTCTTTTCCATTTATAAAAATAATATTTATTAAATTTAGGAAGTATAAAAAAGTTCAGGAAAGGGGTGCCTGGGTGGCTCAGTCAGTTGGGCATCTGCCTTTGGCTCAGGTCCTGGGATCGAACCCCACATCAGGCTCTCTGTTTATCGCGGAGTCTGCTTCTCCCTCTCACGGTCCCTCTGTGCTCTCTCTTCCTCTCTCTCTCTCTCTCAAATAAATAAATCTTAAAAAAAAAAAATGCAGAAGGGGTGCCTGGGTGGCTCAGTCGGTTAAGCGTCTGCCTTCGGCTCAGGTCATGATCCCAGGGTCCTGGGATCGAGTCCCGCATCGTGCTCCCTGCTCTGCGGGGAGCCTGCTTCTCCCTCCCCCACTTCCCCTGCTTGTGTTCCCTCTCTCGCTGTGCCTCTCTCTGTCAAATAAATAAATAAAATCTTTAAAAAAAAAAATGCAGAAAAGAAAATAGAAATCTGTAATCCTTCCACCTAGAGACCCCTAATGCTGAGATTTTGGTGAATATTTTCTTGATTTTTTGCACATATTTTTAAACTTTATTAAATTGAAATCATATAGTATATTTAGTCTTAGAGCCTGCTTTTTCACTTAAGTAGAACTCTGTCCTCTGTGTCCTTGCATAACACTATAATTTTAATGGCTTTATAATGTTAATTGATTAGATGTGCCCAAATTTATTTAATGCCTTACTAAATAGATTCCCCTTTTTTAGTCATTAGAAATAATGCTATGATGAACCTTTGTTTGTTTTTTAAAGATTTTATTTATTTGAGAGAGTGAGCAAGAGAGAGAGAGAGAATGAGCAGGGGTAGGAGCAGAGGGAGAAGCAGATTCCCCGCTGAGCAGGGAGCCCATCGTGGGGCTCGATCGCAGAACTCTGGGATCATGACCTGAGCCAAAGGCAGATGCTTAACTGACTGAGCCACCCAGGCACCCTGAATCTTTGTTTTTGTACAGGATGAATGTATGATAGGAGATGAGATTTATTTGAATTTAAGAAAACCTACCACTATTTGTCAACTACTGAGACAGAAAGCTTAAATGAAATGTGCAGTTAAAGAAATTATAGAATTATAAAAATGAAGACAAAGCTACATAGATCAAAAAAGAAACATCAATAGATTTGATAGTTTTAATGTCCTTAGTATTTTTTTCTTTAAAGATTTTATTTATTTGTTTGACAGAGAGAGACACAGCGAGAGAGGGAACACAAGCAGGGGGAGTGGGAGAGGGAAAAGCAGGCTTCCCGCTGAGCAGGGAGCCCGATGTGGGGCTCGATCCCAGGACCCTGGGATCGTGACCTGAGCCGAAGGCAGACGCTTGATGACTGAGCCGCCCAGGTGCCCCTAATGTCCTTAGTATTAAAAAATGTCTGTAAACCATTAAGAGAAACATTCCTATAACACAGTAGAAAGTAGACAAAGGACATGAATAGGAAGACAATTCACAAATGAATAGGTATAATAATTAGAAGAGAAAATCTTCAAACTCACCAGTATTAAATAAATGCAAATTGAAAGAGTAAAATATTAGATTTGTTTTAAGTTAATTTAATTTATTTCTTTGTAATAGACTCACAAGGCAATGTCAATTGGAAGACAAGGTCGGGTACAAGTTGAAGATATCGTCTTCTTGATTCGAAAGGACCCAAGGAAGTTTGCTAGGGTTAAAGACTTGCTTACTATGAATGAAGAATTGAAACGAGCTAGAAAAGCATTTGATGAAGCAAACTATGGATCTTGACACCTTCTGTACTTTCTGAAGCTTCATTATCTTCTGGGGAAACCATATATCATAACTTTATTTTCCACATTGGGGTCCTAATATCTAGCCATGTATATGCAAGATGGAGAAACAAAAAGTCTTCAGCTTTTATTTTCATGTCTTCGATTTTAGAATGATATTTGAGCCTTGAATTGCCTGCCCTTATAGGACTATACTTGAATTACTTACTGGGTTTTAATGACCACATGTAAGTTGAAGTACCTTGCAAACTATGTGGTTCCTTCTGACTTTTGACTAAGTGATGAAGTAGTATTTATGTATTGGGTGTATTTGTGCCCTTGTAGGCTATACCGTAGCTGTTTAATATATGAAATCTATAGGGCACCTTCGACTATGATTGCTAAGACGTGTTTCATGTATTCTAAAGTTTTTAGACTACGGTAGTCTAAGAGATTATTAAAAGATAGTGAACTGGTTTGCTTTTTTTTTTAAGGAGAAGATGATACAAGAAGATAGTCTTTTGTAGGAATGTTTATCTAAGATATTTGTTTTTTTTAATATTCTTTAGATTACAAGAATTATTTTTTAAACTAAAAGTTTCATGTGAATTCTTCCGTATTGGAAGGCTTTTGATTTAAAACCTTTTGGGCTTATAATGTACTAGTTGTCAAGTTTTAAGAGAACTAACTTTCCCAGGTCAGATTAAAGCTTCTAGAAATAAATGCTTTCAGTAGTAGGAATGGTATTGCTTAAAAAGCTGATGGCAGGATAAGCATTTGGGATAGTGTTTTATTAATGTATTTGTTAGTACTTGTTCATTGTGGAAATGTGTACTTGACTAAAACCATATATGGCTATGGAAACCACTTTTGTAGTTCAGGATATACAAGTTTTGTGTGTGTTTAGCTTATTGTATTAAATTATTGCACTTAGTTTAAAATAAGGATTAAAACTGCATTTAAAGGGATCACTGAATATTACTCTGAAACTGTTTTGTGTACTGCTTATAAACATTATCTATAAATCAGCATGTAGGAGAATTTCACTTTCTTAATCTGTTGATACAAGGAATAAATTAAAAAATTAGATTAATAATTGAATTTGACTTTTTCTTCCCATTACTAGTAATATAATTCTGGCTGCTTGAGCTCACTGAAAACTTTTTTTCTATATTCTTGCAATCCTCCTGAATTGATAATGAGATTCAAGATAGGTGGACTGATCTTTTTGTTACTTAAAAAAGTAAAAACCGGGGCACCTGGCTGGCTCAGTTGGTAGAGCATGTGACTCTCAATCTCAGGGTCATGAGTTCAAGCCCTGTGTTGGACATGGAGCCTACTTTAAAAAAAAAAAAGGAAAAACCAATTGAAAAACTACTCCAGTCTAAGCTGAAATCAAGAATGCGAGTGGAATAATATCTCGCTATATTGATATTTTTGCTAATCAGCGTGTACTTCACCTTGAAGAAAGAACTGGTAATACTTGGTACTAGGGGAGCTATCCTGGTACCCATCTTAGCTAGGGCTGCTGTAACAAAATAGCAGACTGGGCAGCTGAAACAACAGAAATTTACTTTCTCATGGTTCTGGAGGCTGGAAGTCAGATCAGGGTGACAACATGGTTGGGGTCTGATGAGGGCTCTTCCTGGGCTGTAGATCGCTGCCTTCTCCCTGTGTACTTGTCTGAGGGAGCCCTGTCCTTTCTTTCTCTTTTTATAAGGGCACCAGGGTTCCATCCTTATGACTTCATTTAATCTTAATAGCCTCCTTAAAAGCCCTGTCTCCAATATAGTCAGATGGGAGGGAGGGTTGGGTTAGGGCTGCAACATAACTAATTTCAGGGGGTTACAATTCAGTCTATAGCACTGCCATTAATCTTACTATTTTGCTAGTGATCCTGGCACGCAAAAAGTTTTTTATCGGACCTTGTATTATAGGTTGCAAGTGATAGAACTTGCCTCAAAAATAGCATAAGCAGAAGAGGAATTTATTGGTTTATCCAACTGAAACAAGGGAAAGTAGGAATGGAGTTGATTCCTTAGGGTTGACTGGATGTAAGAACTTGAGAATCAAGACTGTCCATCTTTGGGGCGCCTGGGTGGCTCAGTTGGTTAGGCGACTGCCTTCGGCTCAGGTCATGATCCTGGAGTCACAGGATCGAGTCCCGCATCGGGCTCCCTGCTCGGCGGGGAGTCTGCTTCTCCCTCTGACCCTCCCCCCTCTCATGTGCTCGCTCTCTCTCATTCTCTCTCTCTCAAATAAATAAATAAAATCTTTAAAAAAAAAAAAAGACTGTCCATCTTTATCCTAATTTTGGTTTTATTCTTGAAGGAACCTCAGTGTGTCAAGGGAACATGATAGCAGTTCTAGGGTTTCCATCCATACAACTGATCGAGGGAGCTACTTCACTTACCAATACAGAAGATCCCCAGGAGTGAGGGTAGGACGTAAGAGCTGGGTACTAGTAGCGAGAAAGGGAAAGAGAGGCTGGGCAGACAAAAAATAACAGATGGGCACTTACTTGATTCATGAGCTTAACTTACTTGAATTCTAATAGTAAGGTAACATGGCTCCCTTCTAATGTCTAGAGCTACACTGTGTAATATGGTAGCCGCTAGCCACATGGGACTATTTAAATTTACTTCATTCAAATGAAATGAAACTAAACCTTCAATTCCTCAGTTGTACTAGCTGTATTTTAGGTGCTCGTCAGCCCCATGGCTAGTGGCTGCTGCATTGAACAGTGCAGGTGCAGAACATTTTTTGCATCATCACAGAAAACTATTTCGGACAGTGCTGATCTGTAGTGTTCAGGTGTTCTTCTTAATTCAATTCACTTAAAAAAACTTACTATGAAAATCTCAAGTATACACAGTAAAAGAATAGTATCATGAGCTCCTATCTTCAACAATTAACTAACCTTTGCCAATTTTAATGTCTTATCTATCCCCCCACCTTTTGGGGGGAAGGGGCAGTATTTTAAGGCAAATCCCAGCTTCCATTGTATCTTTTCAACTATAAATATCACTGTGTCGGCTCTAACAAAAAGTTTTGAAAGGTAGCCCAAATACTATTATCATACCCTAACAAAAATTACCATTAATTCCTCAATACCCCATTTAATACCCAATCTCAATTTAAATCTCCTAATTTGTCTCAAAATATCTTTGAGTTTGTATATTTGTTCTCTATTGTTCCTGTAACAGATTACTGTAAATTTAGTGACTTTAAACAACAGTCATTATCTTACCAGTTCTTTAGGTCAGAAGTCTGACATGGGCCTCACTGATGCTAAAATCAAGGTACTACATTCCTTTCTGGATGTTCTAGGAGAGAACCTGTTTACTTGCCTTTTCCAGCATCTAGAGCCTGCATTCTTTGGCTCTTAGTCCCCTTCTGTCTTCCAAGTTAGCAATGCTGCATCATTCTGATCTTTCTTCCATAGTCCTATCTCTCTCTGACCTCTACTGGGAAAGGTTCTCTGCTTCTAAGGACCCATGTGATTATATTGGACCCATCTGGATAACCCAGAATAACCTCCCCATTTTAAAATCCTTAACTTAATCACATCAGCAAAGTCTCTTACCATGTAAAGTAACATATTCACAGGTTCTGAGGATTAGGATGTCAAGTCTTTGGAAGGGGCTGTTATTCTGCCTCCCACAGGTTGTTTGCAATAAAATCTAAATAAGGTGTCACCCACTGCATTTGGTTACCCATTGCATCGGGTAAGTCTAAATTTCTATTAATCTCTAGTAGCTCTTCCTTACCTACTTGTTTAAGTGAGACTTTCTCTTTAAAAAATTATACCTTTTTTTAGCTAGCATGTTTATTTGATGCTGAACCAGAACATCTGATATAATTTATGACTCACTTTGAAATTGGTTTTACTGTATTTAAACTGATTTTCATAAGTAAAAGTTGTAATATTCTAAGTGTAGAAATTTTTAAATGGGGCAATAGCTCATTTGGCTTCTCATCAGTGAAAGGCGAAAGATTTATACGATCTGAAGAGAAACCAGAGTATGGCTTCTCATCAGTGGAAAGAGGTGGTGTCTGGAGAGTCAGTTGGCCACTTCCCAAGAGGCCTCAGGGAGTTGCTTTATTGGGTGACTGTGTAGTCCAGAGTTTGACTTGCATCACTGCAGGCTTGGAAACTGATTTCATCAGCAAATGGAGAGCACATCCATCTTTCAGGGTGGACTTAGAAATCAAGCTTGTAAGACCAATATATGAACATGGATGCCAATTTATAGATGTGGGTAAAACTTGCATAGGTTTGATCAGCAAATTCTTCCCTAGCCTGGGCAGACAATGTGGGAAATGAAAACATAAATATGAAGGTGAATCAGAATGAGGGGAGTTAGATGAATGCATTGCCTACAGCATCAGGTAAGAGAAGGATAAAGTCTATACAGAAACAGGAAGAATGGCTCCCCAGACCCAGAGGCTGTGCGTGGGGGTGGGGGGGTGGGAATTGTTTCCTGAGGAGCAACCATCAAGATTCCATTTTTGCTAACACTGGAGACTTGGCTTGAGTTTTCACTTCCAGTGACAATATCCATCCAAGCATGGTCTGTTTGTGGCTTTCAGGTGACTTTGTATATTTCTACTCTAATTCACATGTTGAGCTCAGAGGTAATTCAAAGAGGGCAATTTTACTTCCAGTAAAATTGGGCAGTAAAAACTGCCCAATCTTCAGGGGAGCTTCATAGTTGCTCCCAAGAGCTGATGACACCAAACATTGTGCCTGAAAATCAAGAACGTTTTAAGCACTCTGCCTGTATCCCAGAACATTCCCAATTCTCTAGGCCTGATTTTCTTATATATTACCAGTAGATTGGTAAGAGTTTCAATCCGAACTTTTGTACAAAATCCCAATTCATGTGTAATTTGTAGCATTGAGTCTTCTATGCACATGCTCACTATATTTAACTTACAAAGAAAGCCTGGTAAACTGCTTTGAACTTGGGTGTATTCTTTTAGAATAGGAAGAATAAATGCTGAAATGTAAATCATTTGTCATTTGCCTTTGTGTGGCTATTTTATTTTATTTTATTAAAGATTTATTTATTTGAGAGAAAGAGAGCACGTGAGGGGGCATGCAGGAATGGCGGGGGAGGGGGGCAGAGGGAGAGAATCATCAAGCAGATTCCCTGCTGAGCGCTGAGCACAGAGCCCAATCAGGGGCTCAATCCCACAACCCTGAGGTCACAACCTGAACCGAAATCAAGAGTTGGATGCTCAACCGGCTGAGCCAACCAGGTGTCTCTGTGTGGCAATTTTAGATAAATAACTGAAAATTTAGTAGGAAAGGGCCTATTTAGTTACCGACCAAACTCTAAAAGAAATGCTAATACTATACTTAATTTTTCTGAAATAGGATTTTTATAAGTATTTTGGGGGCACATGACTTACAGTAAGACATTTACCTAGACTCATTTTGGTGAATCTCATGTTTTTCTTTGATCTTTCTAGGAAGTTCTACTAAATAGTTTCAAGATTATTACTAGAAAGTTGTTAACCTTATTCTAAAACACCCATCCAAAATTATGATGCTTAATGTGATTTAAGTATTATTAACATTTCTTAACCTATAGTTTCCCCCTTTTTTGAATTTTTAAGTATGTCAATGATTTCATTAAAATGGGGTAAATATTTTCTTTCCAAAACAAAATATTTTTAATTTTTATTTTCGTTTTCAATATAACATCCAGGATATTTACTTAATATAAAAGAGTATATCCTGGGACGCCTGGGTGGCTCAGTCGGTTAAGCACCTGCCTTCGGCTCAGGTCATGATCCCAGGGTCTTGAGATCTAGTCTCTCATCGGGTTCCTTGCTACGCGGGGAGCCTGCTTCTCCCTTTGCCTGCTGCTCGCCTCGCTTGTGCTTACTCTGTCTCTCCCTCTCTCTCGGACAAATAAATAAAATCTTAAAAAAAAAAAAAAAGCACGTCTCTTCTATGTTGAAACAATGTGTTTTTCTTCACTAGGTTTAGCCATTGACCTATAATTTAAGCTTTTGTTTAGGTGTTTGGATAGGAGTGCTGGTAGACCCAGGTATTCCACCTACATAATCCTTGAGCCTGTTTGAAAGAG